AGCAGACTACCATAGATAATCCAGAAACCCTGTTAATAGTTGAGAAAAAGGTATGCGCTACTTAAATTGTGTTTTTGTGCAGAAGTGTCGTTTTCTGACATAACTGTTTGTATTCCAAAATACAAATATCCTTTTTGAGGAAATTAATTCTGGAGTCACCTCCATAGTGCTTGAGGCTACGTCAGAAGCACGGTTCATCTATGAATCGCACGTGTTACCATAGGATCTGTGACCAACGTCCTAGAACTCTAATGCGAGTTTATAGTTGCGGACGTCCGTGTAGTTGGCCTTGTAAACCCCAAATAGATCATTCTGGTTGTAGCGTCTCGGCGTTGGTTGTGGTGTGTCGTGAAATAGCTGCGTTTATGCATGAAATTAAAGTTTGAGGAAGATTACTTATTACAAGACTAATAATTTGAAGGTTTGTATCCGTTTATCATATTAATTATGAACGCTTATTTGTTTATAAAAATGAAAGTTTACCTATAAACTAGCATAGTTTGTATCCCTTCGTGTTTGGGTGGGATCGATTAAAACACATTTTAGTGGTGTACTTCTGAAAGTTATTGCATTATGAACCGAAGATTACACATTAGTGTTTGAAGAATTCGGTATTTATTGGCAGGTGAGGATATTGCCCGCCATTTTAGCGGCAGTTCGCAGAGGCATTCCTTACGAAGCCGCTTCTAAACCCCCCCTCCCCCCATTGTTATCAGCGGACCTCATTCACACTTTGAAATCGATATTAATTTGTAAGCAAATTTGATCTTGATTATCTTATGGTGAACTGTTGTTGGAATTCGCTCTAAATGATGAAATCGAATTTTTTGACGTAAATACGTCTATACGGAAGGGTCATTCGGCAAAAAAAAGTGAAATCGATATTAATTTGTAAGCAAATTTGATCTTACTTATCTTATCTTAGTGAACTGTTGTTGGAATTCGCATGTTGTGAGGTTGAGTAATTTTTTGACGTAAATACGTCTATATGGAAGGGTCATTCGGCAAAAAAGTGAAAGGAAAACGTGTAAGATCCATATCAACAATGTGTAATTATGGACCGACAACAATGGTCAGCTTGCGTGCATTGTTGTGTTACATTACTGCCGTCAACAATCCGCTTTCGTTATTGCGGAAAGAGCTGAGCTGTGAATCGCTTGTAGAAGAAGTGCGTCGTAGACTAGATAATTTTGTGCTGATAAAAACGTTTTAGAATATCACAAGTACTTATATAAGAATTATTACATTACATCACAGACGTATTTACGTCAGATTCACCGGAACCGTGGTTCCACTGTCAACTTTTTGTTTTTGCAGACTTTGTGTGAAATTTGTGTTTAAATGTGGGGTTGGGAGAGCATGATCAAATTGGCGTGAAGTGAAATTAACTGTGAGCGATTGCAGATCCATTTGTGATAGGCTTCTTTTATTTCCTTTAAGAATGGGCACCCGAGTTTTCGTTGGTGGCTTAACTTACCGGGTGCGAGAACGCGACCTTGAGAAGTTCTTCCGGAAATATGGTAGAATCAAGGAAGTCGCAATGAAGAATGGATTTGCCTTTGTGGTAAGTTGCTAATTGAACGATAAATCGTTTTTGTTCGTTACAGCATGGTAGGGACAAGGGTGTATGTCGGAGGCCTTCCATATGGAGTGAGAGAGAAAGACCTTGAACGATTTTTCAAAGGCTATGGCCGCATTCGTGATGTTCTCATCAAGAACGGTTATGGTTTTTGTGTAAGTACTAACTCTGTGGTATTTATCGTTTTGACAAGCTCCTGATTCTGTTGTAGGAAGCTGCATGTGTTAATGCCCAGCTCCTATGTTAAAATTCGCTTGACTCTGTGCTTCATATTTGGTAGGTCATTGCAATGATGGTTATCTTTCGGGTCTGAATTTTGTTGTGGATAGTTCCCAATGATCTGAGCAATGAGCTAACTCATTCTATAGGTGTCGTGTCCTGTGTCACATCTTACGTTACCCTACTATTTGTTTCAGGAATTTGATGACTATAGAGATGCAGATGATGCTGTTTATGAATTGAATGGAAAAGAGCTCTTAGGTGAAAGGTGGGTTTATTGATTTTTCCTTGTGTATGATTCCAGATGTTTCATAGATGTTAAGTCTGAATTATTTTGACTGATTTTTCCTTTGATGTTTTCTCACATGTATGGATGAAAGATGGAAGTTGTGTGTGTTGAATGCTGTGATTGTAAATGTGTGTACATGTTGAATACAATGATTGTAAATATTTTTGTTGAATACAATGATTGTGATGTAATTTTTGTATATAATTTTTATGAAATTGTTGATATCTGCATTACCTTGGCAGTTTTATATTAACCCTTTTGTGGAATGGGTTATTTGAACTGTGACATTTCCCTAGGCTTCTAGCTTGATGCGATGATGGCTGGTGGGCTGTGGCCGGGCACCCGCCCCTCGTAACTGTGGGTTGTTCTCTTGTTTTCAGGGTTATAGTGGAGCATGCCAGAGGCACAGCTCGTCGAGATCGAGGCTACGGTGGAGGAGGCGGCTACGGTCGCCGGCGTTCGTCGTGGATGGACAAGTAAGCCAATTCCATTGCTTGTTGTTACAGAGTCTCTGTAGAGAAAGCTCGCGGAACGCCGCGTGGCAGCGACATGTGGAGAGGTCGCAGCCGAGATCGCGGGCCTCCCCCGCGCAGGCGAAGCCGGGGTCGGGCTCTGGACAAGTAAGCCGTTACGGGCCGGGGTGCCAGGGGAGGGAGGTTCTTGTGTAGCGTATGTTACAACTACTTCTATAACCACTCCACCGGTACTGGCCTCTCCAGCTCCTCCCTAGTATGATTGGTTCTGTTCTGTCGGCTAAAGGATGACAGCTATCCTAACTCCTTCTGAAGTTAACGTGAATGCAAGACACGCTTACGCCGTGCATGTGTAGCATAGTTTTGTGATTGCTATAATAGTGATAATTTAAAAGTGATAACTGTTAAGTTTACTTATCTCAGCAGTTGTAGTGACTTAGCTGTAAGATTTCTACTGTTACAAAGTGCTCTTGTGGTGCGGATGGGAATATTTCAAAATTTTGGGACTTTTGTTTAGAGTGCTTACACGCTTTCAGCTGAGCATCAATAAAACCAAATTATTTTATTTGCTGTAAGTTTTATGAGGAGTTTGTTGTATATTGGTAATTTAATTTAGGTTAACAAGATTGCAAGACCTTTCTTTCTTTGTGGCAAGGTTTATTGTTACCCCAATAGAAGAAAGAGGGTCTTACAGTTTTGTTACTGAATTGCAAAGTATTCCACCTGACCGCTTGATTTTTTTCAGGGATTTGGATGTCCGTATTCACGACAGGTACGCCATGCCTAGTTTGATCTGGCATTTTTTAAGTTTTATTTCATTTCTATTACCTATTGATTTGAAACACACCATGCGAGGATTGTGGAGGCATGGTGTGTGACGTCATCAGTTGTGAGCCTGCAAGTTGGATCGATGAACTTATTTGTCCTGAACGACGTCATTGTGGAGATTAATTTAGATTTGTCAGGTGTATGCTAGGGGGCAACCAACTAAATCTTTACCTTGGCCGTGACTGCTCAGTGGTGCAATTAATCAGTAATGACGTACTTGTTACGAATCGGACAAATTGACTTCATCAGTGTCACTGGGCACAGTTTTGAATTTTCTGGGGACTTGCATGCTTTTTAGTCAGGCGACTCTTAAAAGACGTGGGATAAGATAATGAGTTTGAGCCTTTCCATCTTACAGGTATGGACCACCCACCAGAACTGAATACAGGCTTGTTGTGGAAAATCTTTCTAGCCGCGTCAGTTGGCAGGTAAGATGGAATGTTCTTTATTCCCGAGTCATTACCCGCTGACATCGCCATTGTCTTCTGAAGGGTTGCTTTTATGAGAGCAGTTTCGTACTTAATTATTCCTTTTGGGTTATAAATGGTCAGGGATTAAAAATAATGATGAAATTTATTGTTGGACTGGTTTTATTATAATTGAAAATTGGTGAGATTAGTAAAGTCATGTGGCAGTAGATTGAATAATTAGGAAGAAACACCTGGCCAAGCAAGAGGTTTTTAATTAATATAACTTTCTGTAGCCTATAAGGCTTAATTTATTTTGTTAGAAGCCATGCAGATTTATGGGCAGTCTGCATCTGGTTTGAATGTTATCGGTGGATGCTTGGCACATCGACTGGGACTTTGCATCTTGGAAGTCTGGGGTTGAGGCACTAATCAATCCATGGAGTGGAACAGTGTGGCAGTTCCTTGAAGAGAGTTTGTCGTCGTGTCCATTACTCTGTATGGCTTCACTTTGTATTCTGAACTTGCTTGGCCAATTTTTAAGTTTGCTTGTGGAGGGGACGTTCGGCTATATAATTTGAAATGCTCTCACATTTAATTTGGTTCAGCAAATATGTCTAAAAGATAACGCTGTTTTTTCCGAAGAGCCTTTCCCTCTTCGCCATGGAGGGATGATCCGTGACCATGCCATAGGGCCTTAAGACTGAGATGACTCATAATAGAACCGAGGTTGAGCATCCTCGCGCATTGTGGTGGCCAACCGATGAGACTAGGGCAGGAAAGGCATCGCTCGCACGTTTCCCTTGGGGTCCATGGCTGGACAAAGCAACCCGCAAACTGAGATGACCGGTCGAAACCTTAGCAAGCATCCCGCCCGTGCGGCGTCACCGTATCGTTGGCCAATGGCAGCCTGGTCAGCCTCGCTCACCCCTACTTCCCCCTCCGTGCCAGTGTGCCGTGCCTTGATCGGACGATGGGTCGGGACTGGTGTCAATCCCTCCTGCCCGCCCGTCCGTCCACCTGCCTGACTGTGGGGTGGCCAATTCTGTAAAGAGAGCTCGCACAGGGCCCTAAGGTAAATGGACGACACCACTACTGTGCACTGTTTTCCTCTCGTTCGTTATGTCTTACAGAGTTGACTATTAGCATGCCACAGCTGAAGTTCGTTGTAAGGGGAGAACGTGTTGGCAGAACTTTTCAGTTGGTTACTCTGCATAGGCGATTGAATTAACGTATGGCTATTTGTGCTCGAAATTAGGTACGTAGTTTCCAATATCTAAATTTTCAGCAGTTAGTGGTGCTGTGTATCTGGTATGTAATTGTAGACAACACTATTATCATACAACTCTGGCTGCGATCGTAGCGTTTACTTATGGTGTTAGATGAGCCATCTCGTTATGAAGATTAGGAGTTTCTGGAGAAATGTGATGATCACAGAAGTGGAAAATGAGGCTATTTTTGAAGATAACAGAAGCAAATGTTTCTGGTATACAGAGAAGAACTTGCGTGTTTGGAATTGCGGATAAGAAGTGGAATGTCCTGTGGTAACAAGGGAAGCGACCCAGGGAAATCATGGAGGTCACCAGAATCGTGAATGTAGTGGTTCACATGCCTTGAGAGGTCTTGCCTCCGAGATCACTTCTTGAGATAGAAGCCGTCTTGTGCGGACACGAGGGAAATGTGTATATCAACAGGAGTTTTATGAACGTTTTGGAGCAGGAATTCTGCGTTTGGACAGATTGTGCTGAACTGAATACATGGATCTGCTAGATGGAAGAATTTTGAGGGGATCAACATCGTGGGAGGAACATACATGAAGTCTGTTGTTGGGGATCTTATCGAGAGAGTTGTTGGCAATAGTGTGTCGTTGGTAACTAGTTTCGAGCACGACGATACAAAGGGTTTGTTTCTTCTGTTGTAGCAAAAAAAATGATTACACGACGGCCTGGAAAAAATAGTGAGTTTCTTATCTAGCGTGCTGATAAAAGAGAAGTGGGTATGACAGTGTTGCCCATTTCTTCCATATTGTGTCTGTAGGTGTCAATGAAATAAACACGATTAATTTTTTTTCCCAGACTAAGTTGATTAAAGGGCACATGCTCATATTCAAAACATCCATTGGGTATGAGTTGTTACGCAGTGTTAAAGTTTATGATGAATAAATTGTCTTTGAGTTGGGAAGGGTGGGAGATTTTATATATTTTACACTTGTGTGGATTATGATGGATTGTTTTTATTGCATGTTCAGGACCTGAAAGATTACATGCGACAGGCAGGAGAAGTTACGTACGCAGATGCACACAAACAACGTCGTAATGAAGGGTACGTATATTCTACTCGTAATTCTTGTGTTTTTTTTTTAATGTTGGTGTTCTACAGTTATTCAAAGTTCGTTTTATGTGACGCAGGGTTGTTGAATTTGCTACGCATTCGGACATGAGGAATGCCATCGACAAACTTGATGATACGGAACTGAATGGTAGAAGAATTCGGTTGATAGAGGATACACGTCGCAGTGGCAGGCGACGTTCTCGGTCTTCTAGTTCAAGGTCCCGCTCACGCTCCAGGTCACGATCTCGGCGAAGAAGTCGTACACGATCCAGGTGATGCTTACAGTTTTGTTGATGCATTTTGGTTGATCAACACGAATGTGGTACAGAAGCAAAACTTCTTGATAATTGCTTCAACCATATTTATATAATTATTGCAGGTTTTGGCAACACCTTTTCAACCTTGTTTTGATTATAATTTTTATTTAAGCGACAGCATTATAAAAATGCCACCTAATGTCTGCAAATGAAACCTGTGTAAGTTCCCCGTCGTCGCTGTGATGACTTCTTTCGGGTCTGAAGTAACATGTAGTAAACTACCCAACGTGTTCTGAGCGATGACATGGGAGCTCTGCTATTTTCGATCAGTCAAATGGCACGTGTTTCTTTATGAATCGCTTTCTTATCGCAGGTCTCGTAGCCGTCGTAGTAGCCGCAGTAGGAGCAGGAGCCATCGCAGTAGCCGTTCGAAGTCACGGGGCCGTTCTAAGTCCAAATCGGCCTCGCGCTCCAAATCACGTTCTCGCTCCAAATCTAAGTAAGAAATATTGCTTGCTTTTATTAACTTGGCTCTGTGCATGCAGTATAGTGCATGCCAGAGGGCATTCTTGTGATTCTGTTGCATGGATTGCAAACGAATACAGGTGTACATGAATTCTTGAATTTCCCTTGTAGAAGTTTCATTGTACTAATGTATTGTGCTTATTGTTTGCTTTATCATATGTGGCATTGCAGCTGACATAAAAATGCCAACTTCAGAGTAATTGTCATAATTTTTATTTCATAATAGCTTCACTTTTAAGTCTGTTACATGCAGGGGCGCAAAAATCCGGGCGCCAGTGGTGCCTAAAAGTCATGCCTGGCGACTAGATTTTGCCTTTCTTGGTCCACAAGTATTTTTGACACATTATTTTTTTTTTGCACTTCCAAGAACAAAAACGGGTACTACGCTCGAGAAACACGAGTACCAACAGTCGCCTTCCGACAGTGCGCAAGCACAACAACCATCACCGTAAGTCATAATTATTAACTTCCCATTTTTTCAATAAGTATGATCATATTGCAGTATATTGGGCAGCTTATTGCCAGTAATTAATGGATACAGTGAAACTTCAATACAGTAGTTTAATTTTGAAGCTAAAATCTGTTGCAGAAAATGGTTATGCATGTACTTGATCCATTTCAAATGCCAAGCAATAAAAAACTTGAGACTTTGTAGTGGTATTACTTTGGTATGTTGTAACTTCTCAGATATTTGGATTTGTAAGTGATGGAAATTATTTTAGAATTTTTATAAAGCAAATTGAATTTGTGTTTATAAGGTGTACTTTAATTCTTGCAGGGATGTATTTTTTTATGTTGATTAATGAAGTGGATGTACATGAAGAGTTTGCCAATTCTGATCCAAGTTGGAAAATATTTTAAAAATGGTGTTTTACTTGTGGAATAAAATTCTGGTCAGGAACCTTAAGGGACGTAGGAATAGTACTTTCACATAACATGGCAGCCGCCCCATATTTATTATTTAACTGGTGTATGTATAAGAGATTTAGGAATGCAGCGATGCGATAGAATGATATTGGGTTTTTAGTTGTAAATCTTGAAAAAAATTAACATTTTTGTCAAGAAAATTCTCATCGCATCAGTTTCCTTTAGTTCAGAGATTTATTTGAATATTGGTACATGAATTGTGTCCTAAATTAAGACCACCATTAATTTTGTATATCAAAGTAGGACTGCAGTGCAGGTAAAATATTTGACTTTAAGATTTGTATGAATGTAAGAGTACACATTTTGAATTTGCTTTGTTAGAAGTGTAATATGTCAGTAGGCTAGTGACTTGCACTTAATGTGGTGTAAGATCTTGACCTTGACTGTCCTCTGCCTTCCAAGCCCACTCCTCCAGCTTTTTCTTGAGACGAGCATCTTATATGTCGTAGCTTGTCTGATGATTGGGTCCTTCATACATTTTTTAATGTACCATATTTGATGGGTGATGTGAATGAAGCAAGTCTTGTCATAAAGTTTTACATTAACTTCTGTTTGATCTGTTACATTTCTGCTTGGATTTGGTTCAACAGCACAAAGTTTTTTAAATTGCCGTAGGCACAGTAAACCATCTGAAATTTTTGCCAAAATTCTCTAGTTACCTCATCATTATTAAGGACTACATTGCTTTTGCTTCTGGGTTCTTGCACTGTGTAGTCTGAATATTCATCGCCCTGATGACAGAGGCAGTATGACCTCAGAAACGTTGGTTAACATCGACCAGACTACACAGCGCAACAACCCAGAAGAAAGAAATCTTCATACTCACCGCTGTGAAAACCTGAAATCTTACATTGCTTTTAACGCTATCAAAAGGGGTAGGTGTTGGGACGTAATATGTTCTAAGTAGCGTCTCCGTTTAGGCATATCCAAGTCACGCCTTCCCTTCCACTATGTATATGATGAAACTGTGTTTTATTTTAATGGGCCAAAAATTCTGAATTGCCCCGTCTTACGTTGCCTGTCCAAGGAAGATCTTGTAATATTGAATTTGGAATGGGAATGTTGCGAGATATTTTTGGGGAGGAAACTGCAGTTGTAAGTTAGACGTGTTTTAGACCTACCAGTTGTGCCTGGATGGATCTTTAGTATTTTGGAAAAATGCTATTTACATGTTTGAGCATGACAGTTACCTGATACTTGTTGCTAGAGGAAAGTAAATATATTCTGTTTTATGTCGGAACCTGTGGCGCCTTGCATATGCAAACAGATTTGTTCTCTCAACCTCTTATGCACAATGTATTTGTTTGGTAAATATTTTTTACACTTTGTAAAATAATGCTCTTGTGCAGAAATGTTGAACATCTTTTTAATTTGCGCTCAGTTGTGGTTTATGTTGTGAGTCGTTGACTTTTCTATAAAGATTTCCACTGAATTCCTAGCCCTTTGACATTTTTGTTTTCCTTCTGAGATTTTACTGAATTTGTGCTAACGTGTTACAATTTGGCAGGGATATGTTGAATGTATGTCTGTTTCTGATTGGGTTGAAGAGTTTATAGTACAGTGAAAAATTGGTACAGTGAACTGTGTTGTACTTGAAAATATGTAACACGTCTTTCGGGCGAATACTGCTCTGTATTAAATAATATGTGCATTCCAGGGATATTTGTGTGATCAACAATACAAATAATTTCAGAAGAATGTTTTTTATCTTGTAAATTGTATTGGGTATGATACATTTCAGTTGAATTCTGAATCTACAAGTGAAGTACTTAATTTTCAAATTTAAGTACATATATTTTTAAAAAAAAATTGGACTATTGCCATTCTATTTATATGGCATAAAGTGTAACTTCACCTCATCTTGGTTGTTTCTTAATCTTCATTGGCTATGTCATGTCTTGACCACAGCCCAGCTGGCCGTGTGTTGCAGTAGCATACCACTAAACCCAGAGGTAGTCTGGCCAGCAGCTCGGTGATATGATGGGGAGGTTAAATTCCCTTTTCCAATATGATATGTGGTAATTATCGTTCTTGATTTTGTTGTTATCGTTAACGCGTATAACAGAGATAACTTATTTCGTTTAAATTTCTTAAATGCATTAAATTGCGGAAATTTTTTTTGAGATTACTGTACCAGCATTTTACTGTTTTAAATGGGATTAAATAAATGCATTGTGCTACAAAATAGTAGTGTGCCAGTTGTGCTCATTTGATAGCTCGTGTCATACAAATTTTAATCTGAATTGCGCTTGAGAGATAGGTAATCTTGGAACGATTTGCAGGAATGTCGGTAGGGTAATGGCTGACATGAGCATGATATTGTTTTAATGCTACCCTTTAGCTGTGATATATGTAAATTATTGTAACATGCTTTAATATTTTTTTATTCAAGTAATTTTCACTGCTGCTATGTAAAATTTTTGCACCCCTGATATTGCATTCCGCAGTTTTACCTGTTATCCTTTTATTTCTTTTAACTTGTAAATGCATTGGGTATGCTAATAATTGGTGGGCATCCTCGTTTATTAGCAGATCTCGCGAACGCTCCAAGTCTAAATCCAGATCCCGGTCACGTTCAAGGTCTAGATCTGAACCAAAGAACAACAGATCCAAGTCCAGATCCCAATCTAAGTCCAAGGCAAAGTCACAATCGAAGTGAGTATGTTGTCAACACTGGCCAGCTTTGCATGTGGCATTTCAGTGTCAGTAGTTTGGAAACTAACTAGAATTATTATTCGTACCCAGTAGAACAGCTTCGTTTCCTGAACTTGTACATTTGGAAGTATGGATTTTTTTTTTTTACAAACATGCAGCAATTTGTATGGTTGTGTTTTGCATATTGTAGTCCTTTTGTGATGTAAGTGGTGACGGTTAACTTTACAGCTAGCAGTTGTAAGACTGTATTAGTTAACTTGGCAGTTTGTCTGGTTGTAAGACCTATATCTTGTGAAAGCACTAATCACCGTTCACTTATGTTTACAGGGATAGGTCTCGCTCAAGGTCTGCAAGCAAAGGCCATAGCAAGTCCAAATCCAGGAGCCATTCAAAGACCCCAGAGAAGGATGGTGATAAGTCACCAGATGACAAGAAAGATGACTGAATTATGTGGTGCATATGTCTTGTGTGTATTAAGGTTACTATGGACATTGCCACATCTTTATTATTTTTTTTTCTCCCCCCTAGTTATATATGTATACAGAATTTCTCATCTTCGTTTCATGACATTTCTACCAACTTACACCTCTGTATCATTTGAAATAATATTTTTTTCATAATTGTCATCCCATAGTGACTTGAGGATCTATTGTCGGAGCAAGAGGCTGGTTGATTGGGTCCATTTACAAGGATGTGTGTGGTGGTTTTTGGGGAATTCTTAGGTTCCATGATACTGTACAGAGAATGTTTAGTGTAATAAGTATTACTTGAATATGTTGTTTATTTAGATATAAATTTCTGATCCCTTGCTGGTAAAAATAAAATACATTTCATTTTCCTCTTGGGTACATATTTGTAAGGAAATTAATTTGCACTTTGGCTCAATGGCCATATAAAATTATTGTGTACGCTGTTACAGTACCTGGAATTTTACGAGATGAGTGTTGCTATAACTTCTTTTTAATAAGTTAGTTTTGTTAAGTTCAATCATGGTGACATTCTGTTGCAGTAACTAAATAGCTTATTTCATGTACTGTAGTTAATAACATTTATAATGCATCGCTCCCTTCACATCATTAGAGTAGGTGACGAAGTATAAATTAATACTATATACTTCTATGTAGTGAAACTAGTTTTCATAGTGTTCGTTGTGACAGCATAGTTGGCATACGTGCATCACAGCTTTGGGTTTTGGGGTGTGTGTAAGAGCTTGGTAATTTTTTGGAGGAAGGAGGTGTGAAGGTTGCATATAATAGGGAGGAAATTTTGATCCATTGATGTAATACCCTAGTAATTTAATTTTTTCTGCATTTTTAAGTAAGATGAGTTTAAATATTCTGTAGTTTTTTTGTAGTAAAGATAAATAAAGTTGTTTACTACAAATGTTTGAAGTGTTATTTTTGGGTGGTGTTTTTGATGATGCAAGAAAATAATTGTGTTAACATTTGCTTCTTGTTGATGTTAGATTGCTGGTTTAAATATTAGATCATATTGCAGTATTCTGTAGCAAAATAAATGATTATCAAGCCACAAGTTGGAGTTATTCTCTTTAAAATCTAATGGTTTCATTAAAATTGGCTTTGAATTGTGTCTACGTTTGAAGTTTTATTTTGGGACACGTATGTGGTTGAAGTATCAGTACTAGTGGGGATTAAATGGGTTCGAGTGGCATCCTGTGCATATTAACACAATTTTGTGAAGTGTAAATAGTGATGGGAGCCAAACTATTTCATGTAATTCTCGTTCACTTCTCCTCTGCTGGCTGTCTGCATATTTGTAATGGTCATTGAAACTTGAAAATACACGAGACGAGTACCGCGTTAACTGTAAGCAGAGCGCTGGTTCTGTTGAATAATTTAGTAATTGATGCCAGTGTGGCAATGTTATTAAAATGCCTACAAGAAACATTTTTGAAAATGTTTTGGTACTTGTACGTTGTGATTAAGTTAAAGCCATTTGAAATTATCTGATATGTCCTAAAAATTTGATTTATACAGGAAACATTGTATTAAGACAATGGACTCTGGGTGAGTAGGGTGGGTTGGTTATGTAGCTGGCATAGGGTACAGTAAATGTGTCTAGGATTGTGGGAAAACTGTATTTACCCTTATGACGCAGGCAACAAGGATCTCAAATTGTGAACAATGAGATACATGGTTCTACAACCCAGAATATGACGTGAGCTGAACTTTCCTATTGCACATAGTCCATGGGTCTTGTGTTCATATGTTTTAGTACTGCAAGTTTATAATCCAGCAATGAAATGTAATGCAGTTTAGAACTGTGCATGTGGTCAAATTGAATTGTCGGCCTCTGGCCAGCTTGCAATCTAGGATGATAATACTTCTGACTCAAGGATTGATGACAGGCTTTTGTGAACACATTAATGAACCTATGGGTTCCATAAAGAATGGGGAATTACTTGACAAGCTGGGCATACTGTTCACTTCTCAATAGGGACTCTGCTCCATGGAGTTACACAAAATCTAACCTAACCTAACATCAGAGGTTTATTAGCTGTCACTATCAAACTGAAATCAAGCGTAGAGAAAATGTGTGTACAGCCTGTGTCAATAAAACCACAACATATCTTAGGTTCTCATTGCCAGTGAAGCTGTCAACTGTGATGTTCTGGATCGCGATGCTAAGTATTCTTGTAGGTGGCATTGAAGCCTAAAGGCTAATGTTCCTCTGAAATGCTTATAACCACCTGTAAGAGTGCACATCATCAAAACCTGGAAGGCCATAAAACTACCTACGATGTGGTTTTATTCACAGCTGTAAGAATACACATGTAATAAACACAAAATATGTACAGTTTACAATGGATATATGGATTGTTAATCACTGCTGTTTACAAAATGCTGAAGCTCATCTTCATAGGGCTTAAAGAACACAATATTATACATAGAGTTTATGGGAACTGCAGTTCTAATGATCATCTCTACTAGGTCCAGGACAGGAATCTTGCAAATCCTTCTCATCTTCAAACTGCACACCACACCAGATGCAGTAGAAGTGTGTTCTCCGCAGGTAAAGTGTTAAAATTTCTAATTTCTCTGGTGGCTGTAATAAAAGAAAGCCTCATTGTATGAGCATCCACCTACAATGCTGAGTTTTTACTGTATGCTTGTGATTTATTTGAGGTCAGTAACAGACTATATAATACTGAATGATGAGATGACTAGTGAATAATGAACCAG